GTCTCAAAAAAAAAAAAAAAAAATTACTAAAAATGGAAAAAAAAACCAAGACTTGAAGACATGGAGCAACTGGAACTTTCCTAAATTACTGGTGGGAGCATAAATCGAAAGCTGAGAGTGTGTGTGTGTGTGTGTGTGTGTGTGTGTATACGCATATATACACATTTTCACTGCTAGGTAATGCTGAATAGAAATGTGTTCGTATGTTCACCAAAAATCAAGTGTGAGAATTTTCTTTAGTAACATTATAATATCCAAAAAGTAGATATTATCTGCCTGCCAGTCATTAGTACAATCAAGTGATAAATTGTAATGTATTTATGCAATGGAATATAATCTATAAGAAAAGAGATTGCACTTTTACTACATGTAACAGTATGAGTCTCAAAAGCACAGAGTATAAAGAAGCTAGACCAAAAAAGTATGTGCTGTCCAATTCCATTTTTATAAAGATCAAAAACAGTCAACACTAATGGATTGTGTTAAAAATCATGATGGTTGTTATCCTTTGAGTTAGAGTAGTGGTCTATGGCCATACCACCCTGAATGCGCCCGATCTTGGAAGCTAAGCAGAGTCGGGCCTGCTTAGTACTTGGATGGGAATTAGAGTAGTGAGTGGAAAGAGAACCAGTTAGACTTTGGGGGTTCTGAGTATATTTGTTTCTTGATGTAGGTGCTGGTTTCATGAATGCATTTAGTTCTATGAAGTTATCAAACTACAATTAGGATGTGTACTTTTTCGATATGTGTGATTATTTCAATAAAAAAGTAAAAGAAAATCCTTGACAGTTTTCCCTGAAACCAGTTAAAACATACCAAAATGATTATTGCAAACTTGGCTCTACAGCAGAACGTAATAACTAAGTTATTCTTGACAGTATATATAATATATACGTAAGGTAAGATCTGGGATGTAAAATTCTAAATTAAATGAACAGACACAAAAAGAGATAATGATGAAAGGAAGGAAAAGCTAGCCTTTTTTCAGGTAAGATATACTTAAATGATACCCTTTCACTCTTGACCTCAGTGGTTGGTGAAATGTTGGCCAAATAATTCTTTTTGGAAATCTTTAAATGTAGTCAAATTCATGGAATTGCGAAGCAGATTTAGACTTTAAATAAATGACATCTTCATATTAAATAGTACAGAGATAATACAAATAATAATAAAAAGTAAAACTAAATCAGCAACACAATGTGTAATACCCAGAAGGCATAAAATCAAATGTAAATTAAGGCTTTAATATGTCATTATAATGAATGTAAATGGATTAAATTCTGTAAAAAGACACACATTAGGTTAAATTTTTTTTTTTTTTTTTTTGTGACAGAGTCTCACTCTGTTGCCCGGGCTAGAGTGCCGTGGCATCAGGCTAGCTCATAGCAACCTCAAACT